TATCAACAAAAATCACTATTTTCGATATGTACTAAGTACTAGTTTTCATTTTTCAGTGTTTTCGATGCAGCATGATACATTATTATCTACTATGTTCAATGATATTAAATTTGATTTTATTTGAAAAAAAAACGGTACATGTCTGCTCTTGCTGATTTTTCGAACTGTTATGTTCAATGAGAGATTGTGTCATGTATCTGAGCAATAAAACGAAGTAGATAAGTGTATTTTCTAATAATGGCAATGTTGCAAAGAAAGGAAGAAAAAGATATGGTGAAACTATCTCAAAGAAACTTATCGTCTTAAAGATTGGACACATGAAGTGTAGTGATCAGTATTGTATTCTTCATGTATCAGAAAACGTGTCGCCCTGTAACTAAAAATGAAGGCATCATCTGAACTAAACGTAAACCTCCATACAAATATCAGTTTCTAGAAAGTTGTGAATGGATGCGTTTACGTTTGTTTGTACTGAAAATTAGATTGCGTATTCTTGACAGAGAATTTGTAGTTAAGCAATATTCACTGCAGTGATTATGTCAACATCTACGATTCAAAATACATTTTTATTTGTAACGAAGAAAAATGCTCTATATCCTTTGACATGAGTCAGATACGTTTAATAGTATGAACTTTTCTATTGTCTTACTCGTACTAGAACACTGGTTTTTCCATGACGCGTCTACTTTGTTCCTCGCCGTCTACCTATTGGTAAAAGCTCTTAAGTAAATGATAGTTTCATTCTTTCATATATAAGTGTACATGAAATGATCATGCATGAAAAGAAACTATGAACTAAAATATTTCTCATCGTAAGCGCATGCTTGCTTTCGACCTTGCATTCTATTCATTAGCTCACACTCAAAAACTACATTTGTTGCTTCTCAGCAATGCTTTTCTGCTTGTTTTTCCCTCTGAAAATCAACCTATGCCAAAGAAAGATCGCTAATGTAATTCATTAGTCGATGGAAGTTTCCTACAAGACGATTCTAGTGCATTTCTATAGAAGCCAATATTTTCCATTGCAGAAAAATTCAAATACCACACTTCAAAGACATAAGATTAAGACATGACACCATTGGTATGACAAAAACAACTGTTTGTAGAAGACAAATCTATTTCATAGAAATCAGTCCTTCAGAACTCACCAAGATATGCATAACTAAACTGCAAGAATTTGTAAAAGAAGACAGTATTTATCCACTATTCTCGGTTATTCTTGTGTAACTTATCTATTTCATTCAAACATGAAAATATTTGACATAACTTTTGTTCGTTTTTATATTCGCATATCATGGCGTAAAAGATTCTTCAGAGTTGTAACAAGAAAAAAAATCAACTCTCTTGAAAAGTTATCGTGTTCAGATTAAGAATTATGTCTATGGGGGTTCATCAGCTTACAAAAATGTCATTCTGGCGATACAGAAGTATGCATCTCTATAGTGCGATGTTAACTACTTTTATGAGCTCTCATATAGTGTATGAAGACTTCAATTTTAGCTTCGAACAGTTTGATATATTTAGAAGAAATGATTGGCTGCTTAATGGATACAATACTGAATACAATGTATAGTGTAGAAGATTTAGATGGCATATAAGAGTCAAAACAAAATTTCTTGTAAAAGATTTGGACATTGATAATTATGCACGGACGAGAAAAGCTTGTGCTATGATTAATATGATTGTTGCCATACCTGGAAGAAAAAAAAGATTTATTGATAATTTATATGTAATATATACGAGATGCTGAAATTCAACTAACATTTATTTCTTATTGATAGGCTGTTTGAGGAGCTTGTTCCTTGGGTTGTCGTTGTTCCCGCTTTTGCCGTTGTTGTCCCTGCTGTCGTAGTTGATGCTAGCGTTGTTGTTGATGCTGTTGCTGTTGATGCTGGCATTGTTGATGCTGTCATTGTTGATGCTGCCGTTGTTGATGTTGTCGTTATTGATGATGTTGTCGTTGTTGATGATGTTGTCGTTGTTGATGATGTT